CCGCCGTCCGTCTCGTCTCGGCACGGCTCGGCTCGTGGTAATACGTGTCTTCGACACGTCCGCGTAGATACTATCTTTTTAGAGAAAATTCTTGAGGAATTTCTCTTTGAAAGAAACAAATGGAAAAATGTGAAAGATTCCAACTGATATTTATAGGCTGCTGAGGACTGTTTAAATTCACATGATAACAGCTGGTTTATGAGAGTTATCAGAAATTAAACAGCTTTTCCTAAATTAAATAAAAAAACGTTAAGATGTATCTGGACTGATTTTCAGCTTTGTACAGATGAGACAAGCTGTTAATATCAGGACTTACAGGAGTTATTTGATTTAATTCCAGGGGTTACATGATATAATTCCGGAAGTTATAACAGCTGAATAATGATGCAATGAACCTGGTCTATTTCTGAGTCAGGTTCATCTAGACGTTTCAGCTGTTACAAAGAAGAGATTTAATCCTAAAATTTTATGGACGATTTTAACCCTATTTCTAACATATAAATAGAGAGCTATATTCACCTTCTCAACACACTCAACATTTAGAATTAACTCTCCAATTGTTTTTTAAATATTCTCTCTGTGTGCTTTTCGATAAGAAGAGCAATATCACCAGCAGTCCACTCCGATTTCGGGTGTACAGAATTCGAAGCGACCGTGTTAACCTCGGGAGACGGTCCGCCTACTGCAACGATTACACACATCGGGGCAAATTCGTTTCTAAGGCAGTGGTTATACCACGACACGGTTTACGAATCTGTTCCTTTTAATTACTGTTTATATTTCCAGTCAATGCTAACGGTATAGTTTTGCAGTCTATTTTACCAACACATGTCTACAATGGTAATTTTCAGCTTATGACTACTTCCTACCTCTAATTAAGAAGTAGAAAAATCTCAACAGTATCACCTTGTCTTCTTGTAAACATCTTTCCACAGCTGATGTTTCAATGAGTTGATAATATTTCTTATGCATTTAAATACAATAAATATTGCCACCATACGAAATTACAGATTTTCGATAAAGTTGGTATCGCTGGTGAAAAATAGAAACCTGGCCTCCACCAGATGTTACAGCTGCAGCATCTTTGGGTCAATAATAAACCGAAGTCTCGGTTGTAGAAGCAAGGCGGCTGAAAACTACCGGGTACTTGTATCGAGAATAACATCTAGTGTATCGGACTTAATATCAATGGTCACAACAACTGGAAATGAATTGGATCAGCTTATTCTTCCAGTTTGATCGATCAATGTACCAACTTGATCTCCACATTATGCTTTCAAGATGTTTCCAGGCTGAAGAAGATTAAAGACCACAACTGTGCCAAAGTAGATTGATTTAATTCGTATGGGATCAATTGTCCGGTAATGAAGAACGAAACGTAACATTCACTATTCATAAAAATTCAGAACATGGAAGACAAACATGAAGCATGATTTCTATAAGAATACCAACCGGGAATGCCATTTTCTTCACAGAAGGTCAATGCCATCATGTCCATGGCTGTGGCGCCTAACTAAATCTCTAAATGAGATGTGCTCAGAAGTAGCATTGTTGTCCTGGGAATGGCAGATAAACACCGACGACATTCGTACCTTTAACAACTACCTCAGCTTGAACTGAATAGAAAACAGTAGACACGTCAAATGTTGAGAAAAGAAAGAAAGAAAAAGTGTCATATAGTTCAAGAGACAACCAGACTTTCCGAAGCTCGAAGCGCTGCAGCTGTGTCAGTAGAAAATAGTGGATTTCCAGTGCCAGCACCAATGCCACCAAATATTATGACTCTACCTTTTTCAAGATGACGTAAGAACGCTGCCGACTGTATGGTTCTGCAACTTCTTGCACAGAAAATGACGTTTGCACACGGGTCTGAACACCCATCTTCTCCAACGAATGATTGCAGTAGTATAGAATTCATCACGGATGCCATCATGCTGCAGTAAATTGCAGGATCATGGTTTTGATTAGTTTCACAACCAGATATAAAAATGTAATTTATCCCCAAGATTGAAAGTACAGACAAACAGCAGATTCGTTAACTAAGATCTTTTCTTTGACTCATTCCATCATTTTATTCTGTTTATTGGGATATAACATGCCTATGTTACTTCGACTCTTTATTTTTGCTTAAGTACCCATGTCCGACACTCATATCCAACACATACTTAGACATGGGGATGAGAATATGATTCTCCAAAAACCCTCCTGATGCAAGGAATATTAGGAAAAAATTATGCAGGCCCATGTGAGACACATACTCATGTCCGATACTTGCACCTGAATCTAAGCAACATGTGACAACTTACAAGCAGAGATGTTACATATACCACCCAACTGAAGTCATTCCCGAAAACAGCCAAAAAGTATCGGCTTATGATCTTAACCAGAGAACGATAAAACTATCAACCAGAGTTGTTTCAACATACAATATAATGACAGCTATATATCAGCAAGCTTAGTCTTACAAGCCTCACCCAAGTTTAAGCTTTAGACTCTTCTATTATGGTTCAAAATTAAACCAAATTTGGTATGGAAATAAAAAAGAGTATCATCCATCGTGAGTAATGCAGAGAACACATTACCCAATTTGATATGCAGTACTTCTATTTAAACCTGTTGCAGTAACCCATGTGTCTCCGCAAAAGAAATTGCGACCTCCAGCAATGATCGCTACCTGGAATATCACCAAAAAGGATTGCATCTTAACAGGATTGCAAACATCTGCAATCATAAAAGATAAAGGAAGTAATGATTACCTCTACACCGAGGCGGCATGCAATTGCAATTTCCCTAGCAATCAACATTGCTACCTGATAACAAGAAAGAAACCGTATTTATGCAAATTGACAACAATATTATCCGAGCTTCAAACTTTATATAGGAAACTCATGGTGAACCTTAGGGTCAATATTGAGAGGACCAGTGCAAGCAAGAGCTGCACCACTAATTTGAATACCACTCTGCGCCATTTAGGATTTTTCGATTTCATGGTAACCGGTCCTACAGGGCTCGGGGTAGGTAAAGCATATCTGCCAATCAAACAAAAGCAAAGGCATCTCTATCGTTGTATAAAAAAATACATTAAACATGACTTTTAATCATAAACTAGGGCATCAACATCACTACAAGCCAGAGTCAAGAACTATCGAAAGATAGATCGCTTCAGAACAAATTCTGTACACTGAAACAACTAGAGAATAAATTCGTTTCCAAATGAACTCAATAAAAGAGTGAAACTGAGAACATACGGCTCACACTTCTCCTGGTAATTCATATTGACAATGAATTACATTAGACCAACATACCAAAAATTTCATTATCTTCTTCCCTTTTTATGTGTTTACTTCTTTTTATATTTGAGGTTATGAGTATGAACCCTCATAACTATAACTAATAATAGTTTAGCATTTGTTGGTAAACAAAAGATGTAAGAATCGAGAGCGTATTTGAACCTTTGGATATTCATTATTAGAATCCGCATTACTTATGCAGATGATATACCTGAATTATACATTCAGGTCTGCTTTACTTATGCAGAGAACAAATTTGAATATCACAAACAGTCATTTCCTGGCTACATTTGAACCTAGTAAAACATTAGCAAATGATAACCAGAAGCGGAAATGCTATCGAGATATACCTTTTTGATTGTCGAACGGCAGTTCCAGGAGAAGCGCTACCCTTATCTTCATCAGCTACCGCCTTTGCCGGCAGAGAATTTCCAACAATTTCTTCCATTTTCTTAAACCAAGGCCAATGACTCGCCGTGATGCCGCCATCACTCATCTTATTCCTCTCGAGCTTATACCTTTTCTTCAAATTATCAACCTTGTTCTTGCACTGCTCCACACTCTAGCTCTGTTTCTCGCATCGCTCGCTGACCGCGGCAGCCACCTCTTCCCAGTCTCCCCCTCTCAGATTCCCTCGTTCAGCTGCGTCAGCTTCTTCATGTAATCCTCCAGCAAACATCCGATCGCAGCGTCGTTCCATTCCTCTCTATCTTTCCGGCACTCCGCCGTCGCCGACTGCTTCGATCTCTTCATAGCTCCGTCGTTTATCTCTTCTTGATCCCTCCTCTTCTCGATTCGGACATCAGATGGGGTAGTGTTACTACTGATGTTGGTGGCGGTGTTACCAAATTTAGCTCCGGGAAGAGCGGAGTCGGAGCCATCGTCGGCGTTGTGAATATCGGGTGGTGGCGCGTAAGAAGGGTGGTAGTGGTGACAGGGGTTAGTTTCGTGGACGTGGATGAGAGAGAATTAGTCGTCAACGGAAGAGGCCATAGGCAGACTTTAGGTTAAGGGAACGGTTGTCGAACGGAAGACGTTAGGGGATGGAGGGAGAAACGTTGAAGAGAGAGTGCAGGGATGGTTTACGGAACATGATGGGCCGTGACGGGTAGAGACGGTTCCGTTAAGTAACGAGGGAAAGTATGTAACGAATCCGCAGGTGGGTAGGTCCCGTGTGGCGTATGGGTCGACATCGGTTAAATTCGATATGGACAAATTTTGGTTCAATATGGACTTTTTAAGGCTAATACTCATGTATTCTGCATATTTTAACGATGATAATCTGTTCAAATCTTGCGGGTTTCAATTTGATCTAATAAATCGATTTTTTATATAAAAAAAATTAGATTCAGGTAAAAATTAAATTAAATTTTGTAAAAAATTAAATTAAATTTGAATTTAAGGTAAAAAATTAACTGATTCAAAATAACAATAAAATATTTTTTTTAGATTTAGGATTAATTGATAAAATACGTTTGACTTTTCTAATTAAATTCCTATTTTTTGAAAAAAAAATTCTATAACTTTTTATATAAAAATCCAATAAAATTTCAAGTCGAATGCAATCTTCCTACACTCTCATTTTATTAAGACCAAAACTCTACTTATTGTATCAAAAAATGAAGTATTCAACGTGTTGTCGATATGTTTTTTAATTAAAGATATACTCAAACTTTTTAAACAGATTATAGTGAACAATGAAAACTTTAAATAAAAAATAATTATCCATAAAATTGCTTGATAACTTGACTTCAACACTGAGGTCATGGTACATAATAAGCATAAGGGAAAAGGAGTTAATAACCTAGCAAATCAACGCTTTCCGCCACCGCCACCAAGCTTGGGGCCTTTTGGTGCACCACCCTTCGGAACGTTACCCTTGCCCTGCGTCTTCTGTTGCTTTGCCACTACTTCAGCTTTCTTTTCGTCCTTGGTTTTCTTGATCCTTTCCTTGATTTCTCTGCACAACAGAAGGTAAAAACTCCGGAATGGCAAATATGAAAGAAGAGATGAAATTTACAAGTCAAATGGAAAAACAACACACCGGAGGGCAGCTTCTCGAGCAGCATCACGAACTTCTGATTTCTCGCTCCTCTGGATAACCTCTAAGGTGGCACCCGCGATGGATCTGGAGTAAGGCTTCTTCGTAGTACGTCTCCTCTTCTTAACAGCCTCTTGAGCAATGTCCTGCATGCAAGTACCCAATATCAAAATTAATACAGTTTCCTGAAATGAAATTGAGTTCACAAAGACGACACTGACCTTCTTATGTTGCTTCCTATACATGGCCGTCCATGTAAGTTTTGAAGGCTTCAGGCGGTTGTGGAAGTACCTCTTGCATTTCTAATTTGAAAAGGTAACTACTAAAATTACCGGATATTACTAAACATATTAGGTGTGACGCGTATTATTAAACATACTAGATGTAGACCCCATTTTCGATGATTAAGAAGGGAATCAGATATAGACCTCACTTATCTTCTTGTCATCTTCTTCAACACTACCCCAACACTAATTCCCTTTCATTTATTTAAAAATATTAATTATCGAAATAATTTTCGTTCTAATTTATTTATTAAAAAATTTATATTATGTATTCATAAATATATAATTGATTGAGCATACTTTTAGATAATACAATTTATTAAATATATTTTTATTTATGTCACATGTTTCATTTATCAGATAAAAACTGATTGTCTTTTTCGTCTTTGTCTTATCTTTGTTAACACAAGAATGTTTGTTTATGTCAAATGTTTCATTTATCGAACAAAAAATTAATTGTCTTTTTATTCTTTGTCTCATCCTTGTTAACACAAGAATGTGCACAGAGGAACGATTGTAGACACTCGTTTTTATCCGAATTGAAAAAAATATTTTAAATATTATTATTAGTATTTTTATTATTATTATTAATATTTTTTTATCAAATATTATTTAACCTAAAAACTAACTACCTATTAAATAATCATCCATTAAAAACCCACTACCTATTAAATAAAAATCCACTAACTATTAAACAAATAAAATTTTATTAAAAAAATAAAAAAATTAATATGTTTAATAAATTTATTAATATATTTAGACTCAGTCTTTGAAAAGTGAAAGACCTAAACAAACCGATGCAAAACACATTGTGTAATAACATAAGGATGAATCTAAATATACCAATAAATTTACTAAACACACCAAATTTTTATTTTTTTAATAAAATTTTCTTTATTTAATAGTTAATAAATTTTTATTTAATGGGTAGTGAAATTTTACTAGATAATTATTTAATAGGTAGTAAGTATTTAATAGGTAATGAGTTTTTAGGTAATGTAATATTTAATAAAAAAATATTAATATTAATAATAATAAATACTAATAATAATATTTAAAATATTTTTTTTCGATCCGGACAAAAACGAATATCTAAAATCGACTCTCTTTGCACATTTTTGTGTTAACAAATATGACAAAGAAGAAAAAGACAACTAAATTTTGTCTGATAAATGAAACATGTGACATAAACAAACATTTTTGTGTTAACAATGATAAGACAAAAATAAAAAATAAAAACAACCAGTTTTTATCCGATAAATGAAACATATAACATAAACAAAAATATATCTGATAAATTATACTCTCTAAAAATACGTTTAATTAATTATATCTTTATTAATATATAATATAAAAAATAAATTTCTTAATAAGTAAATTAGAATGAAAGTTATTTCGATGATTAATTTTTTTGAATAAATTAGATAAATAAAATAGAATTAGTGTTGCGGGTAGTATTGAAGAAGATGATAAGAAGATAAGTGAGAGACCATACTTGATATGTTTAGTAATACGCTCCACACCTGATATGTTCAGTAATATCCGATAGCTTTAGTAGTGCCCTAACATTATATCGACTATTTGAACAAGAATTTGATGCAACTTTACCTGAGAATCAGAACGAACAAATCTGATGCCTTTCCCCGTGTATATCTTGGGACCGCTAAACCGACAAAGCTCCGTCCTAACATATCACCATAAATAAAATAAGTGCAAGGTTTGGAAATTTCAAAACACAGAGTTTTGGCACAACAAAAGAATTACTATGTCGCTCCGTTCATTTTTTCTTGATGCACCCACGTCCAAAACATTTTCCGGCAAGGATTCGGTATTATTATCCTCCAAATGGGAGGAAGAATTTAGGAAAACAATTAAACATACCCAAACCAGCACATCCGATACAAACCCCCGGTACAGGCAACATAGTATACTATTCAATGAGCAAAACCAGACCAAGAGAGATCTATTTCATTAAGAAATTAATCGATTACAGCAGGCATTGGACTCTCATTTTCGTTAATTCAATGCTATTAGCTTCAATAAACTACCTGAATCCTACATCACAGGTACCAGATTGAAAATGAAAAGACTTCAAAACAATTTTTCAAACACAAAACAAAAACAAGAAGAAAAAAGTAACTATATATTTATCAAATCGTGATTTATAAATAAATTTGAAGGAACGTACTTGAGAACCATGGCCGCTGCTCTGCTATTTGTTCTTTTCACATAGAAACCCTACTAAAGTTGTTATCTTGTTTATATATATATATATATATATATGAATATGAGCCACTTACTGAACGGGCCTTAAATCGGATTGTTTTGGCCCGTCTAAATGTTGGCCTGGTTGCATGGATATGGCCTTGAACTTCAGCTTTTGAAAAGGATTCGGCCTGAAAATTTACCTTTAGCTAATTGAAGTAATTGTATCTCCACCACTGCATCAACCTTCGAAGTTTCCGTCAACGAAAAACGATTCTGAAATTCTACCGAGTGTGGCAGAAAATTTTTACAAAAGAAAGAAAAATTCTGAATCATACCGAACGTGGCAGAATGTATAATACTAGTGATAATCCTAGTTTTTTTTATTACTTTCATTTGACCTATTATTTGTACTCCAATAAAACTTCAAAGAAAAAAAAATATTACATTGCAATTAATGTAACCCTCAGATCTAGTCCGTAAGTTAGATCCAAATCTAAGTAGTCACATGTCTCATTCAGAGTTTTTTTTTAACAACTTATAGAACATTAAATATAATATATAACAAAATATTAATAATACAAATATATCCAAAACGATAGCAAATACATGACACCAAATATAACCGAAAAACATATAGATATATATGTTCGTACAAAATAAGTAGTTGATATCTCCTGATGCCAAATCTGTTAGTTTACGGTCTACTGTTATCTGAAAAAGGGTAAAAACTACATAATGAGCTAAAAAACCCAGTGTGCTCCATACAGTGTATAAAAACATACTAACAACATATTTTAATAAAATTTTTTTATGCAACATGTTTCGAAAACATGAACACTACCCACATCCTTTCACAATCTGTTTGTGTAGGTTCCTCAGAACCATATACCCCGCACAACCAGTAAGACCATGAGCACACAGCCGAGGAGCCTGCAGATAATCTTCCTCCAATAATATTCCCCCGATGATAGTAATGAACATAATGTATTCGCGTAAAACAATGAATAATTCTTTAAAAACATAAGAATGTTTCAAGCTTGAAAATCATAAATAGAAATACAGAAATAAAAAATCAAATCAGTAATGTATGGTAATTCAGATGTTGGGTAATCAGTATTCAGAAAACGGTATAAAATATCGTAACCAGAAATCATATCAGAAATATGCAGTAAATCGGAAATCAGATACACAATATTCAGATATTTATATACTTTAAAACAATAATATAACACTATCAAGAAACACACATGTAACAGTCTGAAAAATCAAATAGAGAAGTCTATTACTAGTTTTGTCGATCACGTTCTGCAGCAGGCGCTAGATCCTACGAATTGAAAAAAAAATCTATATTGGAATCTTAATATAAATGATCTTAATCTTTATTTAAATAATATACGAAAACCTACGTGTAAGTCTAGTAGTACGTGGTTCGGGCTGATATGACGAACGAACAATTCTGGACCTAACTGATCCTCTCTCAGTTGAAACACCAGTACCTTCATAAAATATTTTATTGAATCAATTCCTTAACCAAAACTCAATTAAATAATCAAAATATTAAAATACTAAGTCTTTTTGGGTTCACATGCTCGATTCGAGAATTTCGGGTCAGAATTTGGTAAAACGGACTTTGAAATCAGATTCAGGACGTCGAAATACATAAAATATAACCTTCCGAAAATTTGAATTCTTGGTCAAAATCAAAGTCAACGGGTTTGACTGACAATTTGAAGACTTTCGGGTTCGAATTTGACGAAACGACCCCAAAAATAGATTCGAAACGTCAAAAATTATCAGGATAGATATACTCGGAAAAGATTAACGACCGTTTAATAGCCGGTCAAAGCCGGTCAAAGTTCTGGTCAAAGGAGCTGTTAACCAAATAATTACGAAAATAACACACTTTTCTAATTAATTACTAAAATAGCACCTTTTTCTAATTAATTACTAAAATAGCACATATTTCAAATTAATTACTAAAATAACACCTATTTCGAATTAATTACTAAAATAGCACCCTGTCAACGGTCGGGTCGAGTCGATCATCGGGTCGGGTTGGAACCGGTCAAAACCTTTAAAAACCGGTCAAACCGATTATTTTTGCCTTCTCCACGCACAGTAGCGGAGCGTGCGGCGTCTATAAGCGTCGGAAAATTTACAGAAAAAATTCTAAAAATTATTTTGAGCGATTTCGAGATACTTACAAAACTCGGTTCAAATTTTTGAACGGCGGAGAGCTCGATTTCAACAAATCGGAAACTTTGACCGCTTCACCTCCCCACGCGCCGCCGTCGACGGAGACCAAGGATGACGCCGATGGACTCGGAACGGCACAAGGAACACGAAGGTGCGGGAGGTGTCGTAAACGGAGTAACAATCGGTGATGAATTTAAGATTTTCTCGACGATTGAGCTAAAAAAACGTCGAGACTTTGACTTGAAATTCACGGTGTTTAACAGCGTTTCACTTCAATTAATTTAAGGTGTTTGTTCCTCGCTCGATGACGAACATGATGGTGGTTTCAAAACGACGATCAGAGGTCGGATGGCGTCGGAATCAGGTTTGGAAGTTGTGTGTAAAAAAGAAAAAATTTGAGCAATTGGTTTCTGCGTCTAAATAACCAGAGACTGCCCACACTTCAGGGGTAAATTCAAGGTTTAGTCCTTTAATTTTATTTAATTTTAAAACAGGCTACAAGTTGTAAAAACTTTTAATTTAATCCCAAAATTTATCAATTTACAAAATTAAAACCTTAAATTTCATTTAAATAATATTTTCAAATTTTCGAGTTGTTACAATTAAAACTTAAAAAGAGTACTGTTGGGGAAATTTCAATAGTTCAATTTTGATATTTATTGAGATTGACTTCTTCTGGTTTCAATTGACAGCAACTCCTGCAGAAAGGAAATTGGGATGAAGCGCATCTACTTTTGCATTTGAGAGCTTGAGAACCTCCGCGGCTTCCTCCACTTTGGCTGCCGATGATTCCGGGGATTCTAATGGAAGTAGCAGTTCAGAGTTGTCCATCTCTAATAGCATTCCAGTGATCTTTGGAACCTGTTCAAGCTGTAGACAAACCAAAATGAGATAAATATATTAATTTTGTAAGTGTTCTAGGCTATGGAAATTACCCGGTGCTTCTGAATAAGGGGACAAAGTCGTTCCCCAAGTATTGTTTTTTGCTGCTCAGGTGAAGCCGCGGAAAGCATGCTACTCAGCATCTTAGTCCCTTGTGTCAAAGCAACGGAATTCGAACCAGCTGGTGTCGCACCGGAGCCTTTGTTCAACTCACAAGCTCGACGTTCCATGCATATTTAGCTTCTCCAGTCTGCTGCAAAATGAACATAAATATATAACAGTGAATCTATATGAAAGGGGTGGAGAGAGGGAAAGAAAAAACAACTTGAGAGGGAAAGAAAAAACAACTTGTTGGTCTTTTGAAGAATTCACCGTCCGAGTCGGCTGCTGCGATCGTGGCACGTATGTGACGGGGTGAGAACCGCCCTGCATAAGAGCGTGGCCATTCATCCGACCCCAGTTTGGCCTCATTTGGCTTGGAACAGTAGGAAACCACGTAATAACATAAATAATTACTAGTATTCAATTGTACCACTAATCTAGTAATGTACTCGTACAGGAACCTAGCATGAATACGTACCAAGGGCTGTGATGGTTGAAAGACTGGTCTGGCTGGTGGTGCCAAGCCATTACCCCTCCATCCTGTCCTTAAACCTAAAGGTTGGTACATTTGTGAAACGATGCCAGTCGGAGATGTGTAGAAAAGTGGAGGATATCCTCCAGGGAGAATAGCTGTGGAAGGCCCTGCTAATTCAGCCATACGATGTGCATACTGAAGTTGCAATTGTGCTCGTCTATCCTCCTTCCTTTGAGCAATTGCAACATACAGAGGCTTCCGGTAAAACATATATCCTAAAAGATAACAAATTCAGTAAAGCTGCAAGTTACAAGTGAATAATTTCCTACATGATCTCCATCCAGATTTCAACCATAAGGTAGCAAAATCCAAATGCTTACCTGCTCGTAAATGTTATAAAGACTCGTTAACTTACCATGGAACGTGCCAACAGCTTTAGCAGCCTCCTCCGGAGTATGGAAACAGACAAATCCGAACCCCTTGTTTATTCCTTTGTCATCTCGCATAAGTTTTGCAGAAGTAATTGTACCACACAGACTGAAAAGGTCTCTCAGCTCATCATCGGTGACATCTTCATCAATGTTCTTCACATAAACATTTGAAGCCTGAAATTTGGATAAAGAAAAACAATGGTGAAAGGAATCAATACACAAGTAATGATCACGAATTCATGATGTAGAGAAATGAGCTCAGGCAGAGTTACTTTATATTTCATGATCTGCTCCTTTCGTCGTTCTTCGAACTGATTACGCAATTTCTGCTCGCATTCCGCTTTCTTCTGTGCCCTCGCTACATATAGGGCCTTTGAACCTAATCCATACAAGTAAACAAGCATGCCCTCGCTACAGCTAAGCATGGATAGGGCACAAACTGAAGTGAATCAAGCAAAACAAAACTCTGAACTCGCCACGCTCGGGGCGGAGGAGATGAAGCAAGGGATTTGTGAAGAGGCTAGTGTTGCAGCTAAGTAACAGCTTGAAGTTGCAAAAGCCAGGCATGCAACTGTTATTGGGGAGCTGAAATCTGTTCATGAAGAGTTGTAAACGTTAAGAAAGAAATATGTTTAAAATTGAAGAGGTTGTTTTTGCTTCGAAAGAGGTTGAGAAAAGAGTGGAAGAGTTGACTTTTGAGGCGATGACGTCAAAGGAGTACTTAGAGTCTGCACATGCTATCCATATGGGGGCTGAAGAGAAAAGGAATGGAGCAGCTATGGCCCGAGACCAAGATACTAGCTTATGGGAGAATGAACTAAAACAGGTTGAAGAGGAGCTTCAGAAACTCAAACAACAAATCCAGTCAAAAAAAGATCTAAAACCAAAGCTAGATACCATTTCGGTACTGCAAATCCAATCTAAGTTCAATTTAGAAAATTATGGATTCTCCACTGATGCGTCACAAATACCAGAGAAAAAAATGAAAAGTACTTTTTATTTAGATTAAAATATGTCGTTATGGTCTAAATTTATTTTGTTATAAGATCTAAAACTACGTCGTTTTGGTATTGATTGACACATCATAAAACCGCTAGAAACTTAGAAGTTGAGTAATAAAAAAATTCAATGTATAAAGTTCAATAATTAAATTGAAAAATTAAAAATATAGTGAGTGAAATAGGAAAGTGAGTAAATTTCAGTGACTAAAACTAAACTTATAATTTACTCAAAAAACCCTTTCGCCTCTGCTTCGTGGCTGATACAATTCAATCAAAGCTTTTGTTTTATTTTCTGTATTTTTCATTTGGTCAATTGGGTTAACTAGTTGATTATACGACGATTAATAAGCCTACCTGTCTGAGCTATGTTCAAATTCTGGTGCTTTTCTTCTTTAATTCTTCAATCTCTTTTGGGTTGTTTGGATATCCAGAAGCCTAATATATTTTCCAATTGACTGTGATTTTGACTCATTTCACTTCAATTTCTGATTTTGTTTTAACTTTGCTTATAGTTTCCGTGAAATTCAATCTGGGTTTGTTTAAAATTGTGCCAAAGAACAATAGGGTCATTGTGATTTATAGTATGAAACTTGTTTTGGTTAGACGAGGAAACTGTAACTAAGTTCTCAATCTGCTTCTTGGAAACTATGAAACTAAGCATAATTTGGGAAACTTTTGTGTGTATAAAAAGATATGTTTTCATGATGTTAGATACAAGGATGATCTTTTTCTAGTTGCTTAACATGTTAGTGCAATTCACAAATGTCAATGCTTGATAATTTTGATATGCACTTTTTGTTAGATTTCAATGGGGGTAATAGTAAGTAGTAACACTGTTATATGCTTGAGAATTGCCATTAGTTGAAGTTGTGTGGGTATATTAAGTTGTGCAATCATGGTCAAAAGTGCTGTCATGGTCTTTTTAACTGCATTTAGAGTTTTCACAGACATTTGTGATATGCATATATTGGTTTCACTTTGTTGCAGGAATTCACATGAGCAACAAGCTCAGCCGCATGCGCAAGAGGGTTCTTCACACTCTTGGTATCCTTCTTCTGTTGTTGGCTCCTCTAATTCTTCCCGACCCAGGACTCCGAGTAACAATGCTTCCAGCAGCTTCAACTCGCAGAGGCCTGCAGAGTGGTCGCATTCTCCCCCACCTGTTTCGCCTGCTGAAGCTGCTGGAGTCGTCGGTCTTTTAAAGGACAAAAGGTGAGGGGTCTGGTTTATGCCTTTCTATTTATTGTTATCGACAGAGCAATCTCCATTTGGCATTTTGTCTTAAGAATGTTTCTTGAATCCTAATTACTTTCGTATTTTCTTAGTGTTGATGAATTACGGAAGCTTTTATCTGACAAGGACGCATACAATCAGTTCTTACAATCAGTTGACCAGGTTAAACTTCAAAACAATGTAAGTATCAAAATCGCCTTGATTTATTCGGTTTCTCTTTCAAAGTAAGGAATTTGCTGCTTGTTTTTCCTTTTGCACTGTGTGGTATGTTCTTGTCTTGTTCTCTGGTCTCAAAGATTCTGATTGTTTGGCTTTTAGGTCATAACATAACCAGAGGTATCAATTAACCAGTGAATTTGGTGAGATTGATTGTCTATGATTGACCTCAATATCAAAATGCTTAGGATACTTACTGCCTATTCAGATGGTTGATTCATATTGCTACTTTTCATGTGCTGCTGATATCATTTCATGTGTCTGAATACTGGTTATGAAGATAAGCCATTATCGGTAGCCCACATGTGCATACTGGTGAGGAGATAGGGGTTGATAAAGTTCTGATGTTTTGGAATTTAGTGGATTCTGTTCTTGTTTAAAAGACATGTAAAGGAAGACTTAATTCAAAACACTGAGCCGAAGAGGATCTCGTTGTTATATTGGTCTCGGGGGATAGCCTGTTAAATTCCATCGGCCAGATCTTTAAGGTTCCCCTTTGTTTTTTACATGTGATTTTTGATCAGTGCATGGCTCTCTGCTGACTAGGGCCCTACTCCGTCTTATATTTTCTGTTCCTTGTTGGTATCATGATGGGATTGCACTTTAGCTATGTTTTACAACCATTTATTCGAACTAACATGCATGTGATGAGAAAACTGTCTTTTTCGTTACTTTGTATTTCATCATTTTGTCGGTTTCTTACTCGTTCAGGATTATTTTTTTACCAGATAAGAGATGAACTTCGCAAGGAGACTTTGCAGCTTGCCAGTGAGTTCTTATTCCATTGAGTATTATGATAATGTCATAAATTTCATAGATATAGAAATGTGCATAGAGAGACAAATTCCCATTTATATGATTTCAATAAACAGGGAACAATTTGGATAAAGAACCACGAATAATGGAGCTAAGAAACCAGGTGAGATTTTCTGTAACATCTAACAACCTTCTTTTTGTCGCGGATCAATGTTAGTATATCAGTTCTGTAACCTTTTTTCCCTTTCGTGTGATCACAGTGCAGAATTATCTGCACAACCGAATTGGCGGCGGCTCAGGAAAAACTAAACGAGCTCGAGAGACAGAGAGATGAAACTCTGAAGTTCTACTCTTCTGCATCATTAATGCATAGGCTTCAAGGTAAATATTAATTGTGTTACCTGCCTTATTCAGATTTAGATGTAAGTACTTAAAGAAGTCAGAGCGACATAATATATCTCTATAAGAAATAAAAGATGGTTCTTCTTCCTTGTAGATGCAATGAATGTGACAGAAGAGGAATCGGAAATCGTGAACAGGCAGCTTCTTGACGGGGAAATAGATATCGGCACCTTTGCGCAGAAGTACAAGAAGCTCAGGACCAGTTACCACCGGCGAGCTCTTATTCTTCTTGCTGCTAAAACCTTTCCGATTGGATGACGAAAGTAACTGGAACTGGAGATGGTTATTGATTGTATCTATGTACCTTACTATTGATAAAAACTGTCACCTGCTGCTTGTTGTATGAATAATGAAATCCATATATTCTCAGTTTGAAACTCTCAACATTTTACAATAAAGTCTTTGTAGTTTTATTGTGTTCAATTCAAGCCTCCTACTTTGTTTTAATGTCACGGTCCGCACCTGCAGCTGCCGCAAGGCTATGTCCGGACCAGTGACACAAACTCTAATTAATAATGCATCGAAGTTTCTAAATACAACGAATCCGGTGTTCTCTTCTGCCTAGTTCTTGCATTACTTGTAATTGCAACAAACATAAATATAGAAATTAAAATTTCATTCGTACCCCGAAAGAATTGTTGTAGTTTTTTGTTCAACGATGGTGCATTACGACTATGACACGATACAATTCAATACATCGACTAAGTCTGTAACTTATTTAGGCGTTGGCTGAGCTTCATGTACAAACCCTGCATCATAAACACATTTATGAAATCTGCTTGACGAGTTCTTATGCATAACAAAAACAGGTCATTTGTGAAAGAGAAATTACATTTGTAGTATGTATCGTGGCTCCAGTGGTCATACTAATGTTTTGATCCGGAACCAGCTCGAAATTCAAACGTTGAAGAAAGATTGCGAGTGCGACGATAGCCTCTAGCAAAGCAAATTGATCCCCAACACACTTACGAGGCCCCCCGCTGAACGGAATGAACCTGAACATATTTCACCGTATTTCATCATATCGATACAATAGAGAGTATGTATTATGTAAAGAAAATGTGTAAAGGATATCAAGGATGGAGAGCAAACTAGTAAAACATGTTTGTGTCTCGGTATCAGAATTGGAAACTTTTCGACCTGTAATCAGTATTTGTTTCATTAGGAACTGAGCTTTCCAATTCAAACCTTTCTGGCACGAACTCTTCAGCTCTTTCCCAAACCTGGAAAATGAAAATGAAGAATTGTAGCAACATATAAGTAACTTATATATTTAAGTTAATCACAACATTCGGAAAAGGAATCCAACCAGGAAAAAGAATTACACGTAAGATGAAATAAGGCATAAGCTGTCACCTGTGAAGAATGATGTATATTGTATACTGAAATCATTATGTCTTGACCAGCTTTAACTTTATAGTTACCGGGAAGAACATCATCAACTTGAGCTCTCCTTATCAAGACCTATGGGCAGAAAAAGCCAGAAACCGTAAGAAAAAATGGGTCTTTTAATTGAGAAGATATAGAAGTCACAAGGTCTGTCTTTGTTGTCTACTTCATATTGTATTATATATATGTATGTATATGTGTATTTGTATGTATCTACTTTAAAGGAATCTGTAAAAGTTGCAACTTACAGGAGGATGCGGATAAAGACGCAATGACTCAGTTATGCATCGAGTTAGAAACTTGAGGTTCTTTATGTCTTCATATGTAGGCAGCCGTCCCTCTAAAACTGTGTCGACTTCCTGTTGTGCTTTTGGCAACGACGAAGGATCCTGCATTAGAAAATGGAAGAATGAAGCAGAACGAAGCAACGTTACTCGTGTTCTCGATTCAAGTAACACATTTGCCTCTGATCTAACATATCATGCTGATAGAAAAAGAAGTACCTTGCTTAGAAGATACAATGTCCATGTCAATACTGAACCGGTAGTCTCATGACCTGCAACTAACATCGATAAAAGGTCATCTCGTAATTGCAAGCTCGAAACCTGTGACAGATCGAGCCATTGTCAGAAGAACAAGAAGCAAAGTGTTCACGCTTAAGGAAAAATGAAATCATAAAGAAAGAAGTAAAGAGCAGTTGTGGACCTCTTCCCTGCTTGCTAGCAAGAACCGAAGGATACTCGGATCAGCATCATTTACGTATTCCTCCTCATTGATTCTTTCACCTTCTTTTTCCACAATCTCTTTGCACTTTGTTATAAGTTCTTCAACAGTTTTCCGAATGACTGTAACTGCATTTTCAGCCTTTATTTGCCTCGGAACCATCTTGCACAAAACTCCAATCTGCAACAGAAATCAATAACCAGTTCGTTATCGAAAGATCAAACGCAAGAGGCCAAACAAAGAACATGAGCAAGAACCTGCCTTCCAATAGGGTAAAATGTCCGTGGATCGTAACTCTGCCTCTTTCAAAGCAGTATAAACTGCATCAATGACAGGGCTATCGGTTGTCAGTGAATCAAAATTATAATTAAATACTGATAGACCGATGACATCAAGAGTCAGTTGAGAAAACTTTTCTTCCATGTTTACAGCCGTGCCGTCTAATGCAAAAGGTTGCAACTTCTCTACTAATCTCTCTGCGCATTTGCAAAATACTCGATCAACCATAACAGACAAATACTTCTTGTGAAGAGATGGAACCACAGCTCGCCGCCTCACCTGTCGAAAATCGAATTTTTCATGCTCGAAAAGTGAAATGAAACACAACAGAACTGCCAGTTTCTAACATTCCCTGTTATAGATCGATTGTTTGTTGAAGTTAAACGGGTCATTGAGTATTCAATTTAACAAAAGAACTAGGCCAAGAAATCAACCTACAAGGGACTTCACTCCTTTTCTTTAGTACTCACTACTCGGCCTATAATTAATATAATTGCTTGCTTCGGCTCTTGATTTTTCATGAAATACATTTGTCCGAGACATATCCGAACATGCGTATCTAAATTCTAACACTTAGACCCAAGTCCGAGCAACATAGATGTCAAGCACTATATTTATAAGAACCAGGTCAAGCAATCCACCTACACGGAAGATGTGAAAGCGAGGGTGGGGATGGCCCCTATGGTAAAACTATGCTCAAGTCTCTTAAGAGTTTATAAAATTATGTTAATACTGGTAAAATTGCATTCTCTTCCTTCTAAAAAGTTTATAATTCAAGTTCGACCCCAGGAAAATTTTTCTAACTCCACCCCTGCTACATTAGATTTTTAGCATTTTCCTCGATACTCCCTACTCAGCCTATAATTAATATCATAGCAAGTTTGGACTCTTCATTCTTCATGAAGTACTATCAATGGCGGATCCAAGTATAGCTTAGGATAGGCAAGTGTTCAATCTAAAACCTGAATTTTCACTTACACAAATTTTATGTTGTTAATATATGTATTCACCCTAAAAAATTATTTTTCGATCTACCATCGAACATTATTCAAACATGGGAATACAGTAACACTTAAAACCCGAGTCCGTTCCTTCAAAAAAGAAAAATAAAACCCCAGTCCGAGCAACATAGAGATATCAAGCAAAAGAAGAGTCATTTACATGTTCTTATCCATTATCACTAATCTAAAATGTCCAGTCATAGAGAAACTTAGAACAAATATAACAAACACGTGGTGGGCACATATCAGTATCCGATTCTTACACTCAAATCCAAGTAACATAGTTATCAGTTATCAAGTAGCCAAGAGAACTCACTCAAGTAGCCAAGAGAACTCACTCAAGTAGCCAATTGTTTAAAGTTCAGTGAAGGAAACCGATGATTACCGTCCAAAGAGAACCTTCAGCAATGGCGAAACCCGACCCGAATAGAAATTCAGAGACCTCGGAGACAAGTCCTTTAGCGTATTTGCCATAATTTCTCAGCACGTGCTTGGCAATGGCGGGGTTACTGACCACTACAAAGTTCCTAGGACCAGCAGCGAGCCGATAGATAGGCCCATACTGATTCATCCACTTAAACAGCGGCAAAAACAAGGCACCCCCAAGAAGCTCAGAGACATCTTCCAACTGAGCATTGGCTACGGGAATCCCCGAGTCATCGTTGGCACCAAATGTTAAGGACTTGGTCAATGAAGTGAGCCAATTGGGGCTGACCCAAGACGTGGTTTTCGAAGGTGCTGGTGCTGGTTTGGGCTTGGTGGTGGGTGTTTTATCAATGGAGGATTTGATTGAGAATGGTTGAAGTGGACTGTTAATGGGTTTTCGAGGAGGGATTGAAACGAGAAACAAAGAAGAACTAGGAGTAAGACAAGATTGCATGATGTTTCTTCGATGTTTTTTTAGGATGAAATGGTTTGGAAGTTCATTTGAGTTCGGTTCTGTCACTCTTTTCAAGCGTTCACCAAACTAGAGATGTCTGGTTTGTGGTCAATTTAAAGAAAACGTAAACGATAAAAATAAAAGAATAGTTAATTGTATTACACACTCTCAAACTATAATCCTCGTTACAAATTGGTCTCTAAAATTTTAAAAATTCTAATTTCATCCAAAAACCATGACTCTCCTTTTAAATCAGTCCTCAAACTTTTGAACATTTCATTTTCATCCTCAAACTTTTGAACATTTTGATTTCATCCCAAACTATTAATATATTTTAATCACATCTATTGTTAATAAAATTATTAGGTCAAGTTATATTATTATATGTTTGAAAAAAATAAGTTAAAATATAGTTGGAACTAATTACTTATTGAATGAATATGAAGAAGAAATTGAGAAATTCAAAAGTTTGAAGACATATTTTTTAAGAGTCTAGTATGATAGCTTGCACACGCTTTACAAACGTAATTATTCAAACTCTTAACTTCTAAAGAGAATAATGTTCTTTTTTATCACTTACGTCAATTAATAAATTGACTGAATATTACCTTACATTGTGGGTTAGTACGTACACCATCAAAACACATTTGATCTTATTGCTTTTGCAGATGTTAAGTGGAAAAGTAACGTTGACGATGGGAGATGAATCATTTTCCTTGTTCATTTGATCTAGAGTTGAATTAGATTGGATTTTTAAATGAAGAAAAATTGTTTTAGAAATGGTTTTTCATATAGAAAACTTACATTTTGATGAAAAATTAAGAGGTAATTTGAGTAACCTCTTTAGTTCGTCGAAGCACAAATTGAATCAACAGTTCCATGTCCCGATGAGAAGATCCACCTTCTTCAATAGACTTAATAGCAATCTCCCCAAGCCTTTTAGCCCTTCTCCTCCTCTCTTCACCAGCATCACTTTCCTCCATTACTTCCTCACAAGCCATTTTCACTCGTTCGCGTTTCATCACCAACCCGAACTCCTCCTCCAATCCCCACGTCACTGCCTCTTCGACACCGATGCTAACGCCGATCCCGAGCACGTCGACGACGAGCCTCTCGTTGATAAACTGCTCGGCGAACAACGGGCAAGCGATGATCGGCACGCCAGCAGAGACGGCTTCCGTCGTCGAATTCCATCCGCAATGCGTTAAAAATGCTCCAATGGCGACATGTGATAAGATCCATAACTGCGGCGACCAACCACGGATTATAAGCCCTCGATCTTTAAGACGATCCTCAAATTTTTCTTCTGAAATCCAATTTTCCAATTCGTTTGATTTTGGGTTTTCTCTTATGACCCAAATGAATGGCTTCTTTGATGATTCCAAGCCTAATCCAAGCTCCACAAGCTGCCATTTTGTGAGACCCGATATGCTTCCGAGGCAAGCGTAAATCACTGAGCCAGGCTCCCTCGAGTCAAGCCATGGCTTCAGTTTCACATCTAAACAACACCGTTTTGAACCTCTCTCTGCTTTGTCGGAGCTCAGCTTGTTGATGGCTGAAAGCGGACCGATACAATACACTTTGTCGTCGCCTTTAACCTTTTTATACTTTTTTACGTATTCGGTTTCGAGTTCTTCGAAAGTATTAACGACGATTCCATCGCTAATATGCTCCGTCGCTCGCATGTTATCTCGCACGTTCTTCAAATCGTTCGAGTCTTTGTTTAAATTTTCAGGTAACTGAGCTTTTTTCAATTTGATTTCGTGAGGCAAACCGGGGATTACGAAGGAATCAAATTTGGAAACGGATTCACGGGTCTTCGAAAGCTCGATATTATGAGTACAGGTGAATGAAAAACAACCCATTCCATCAAAGAAAATTCTTGGAATGTTGAATTTTTGAGCTGTTTGAACCGTCCATGGAAGATTCTTACCAGAGACGATGCAACTGGGTTTGGGTTTTAACTCCTTGAAAAGCTCCTCGAATCGTTCTTGTAACTCGGCAGCCGCCATGAAGTAGTTCTTGATCAAGTCGCGGGAAGGGAGCTGGTCCATGTTTTCGCATCCTTCCGGTAACCCGAACTCGGTCGTCGGGAACTGGAGGTGGAGGAGGCGGATGTGGAGGCCGGAAGCAACGGCGCGGTCGATGACGGTGACGAATCGGGTGGTGTTGAGAGGTGTGGTGACGATCGAAACGGTGATGCCGTGAGTGGCTAAGAGGCGAGCCATGTCGACCATCGGTAAAAGGTGGCCGGGGGACATTAAAGGAATCAAAACGAAATGAAGCTCTGATTCCATGGTGGAAAACTGTGGTAATCGGGAACCGTTGAACATATTACGTGAATATATAAAATTTGGACAATTTTTAAACATCATTATTTTAACACAAGTGTTTAATTCTATATAAAATAGTTTTTGTCGTATACTTAATTATTTTTACACTTTATTTGATATTTTTAAAGAATGTAATATTTTATTACTAATAAACATCACCGGCCACCCGTTGTCCTTCAACGCATGCCAAAGGATCACTTGCCTAAATTAATCGTAATTTATGTAAACCCCTGTATTCCACCTATACATTATAATCAGATCTAGTGAATTACATTTAAATTTTTTAAAACGTTCTTCGATAATTTAAATCCATATTAAAAATGACATTTAAAAAAAACATAGTTAATAAAGATAAAATTCCAACGAGTAAATATAAAATCGTAAGTGATTGAGTAAATTAAAATATGACATAATCAGTATTGTGGAAATCTAACATCAATAACAAAAGAAGTAATAGTCGTAAAAATAAGTGTTTTAAAATAAAGACACATGTCACCAAAAATGAAGGCAGTTCGAAAGATAAAAAATATTACAACAAAATGTACTGTATGAAATTTGTTGATTCTTCGAGGACCAGGTTCGGGGTGTCTATCTAAAAGTATCTGAAAGGGTAAAAATGTTTGAATGAGCGAGCAAGAGGCTCAGTATGTTCCAATAGTGCAAGTAAAACATAATGAGTAAATTAATCAAGAAGTAGTTCAGTAAAGTATCTCAAAAGTCGTAGTCAAGTTAAATTTTAAAACTCATAATTACCCTCGTCCCGTACACCAAAATGCAGTTCCCCAAAATTGAATCCATAAGGGCTCATCTTATACTCATTGGGTATAGGAGCCAACTTAAAGAACATCTTGGGGCCTGAGAGCTTACCCAAGAAAGTTCTTAGGACCTCGAAGCTTACCCGAGGGTCACTTTAGGTCCGTAAGGAATTACCAGCTTAATTAGAGCTGAACCTCCATACTCGAGTATCCTACCCAAAATAGTATCTCAATAAAACAATTCACATAGTAAGTAGTAAATTCCATGATCCATAAATCGACATAATTATATTCTTCAGTGACATTTTAAAACATATATGTAACATCTCGAAATCCGGGTCAGTGACTAAAATGAGATTTTTTTGAAAATTGGGGATTAATTTAGGAAAATTGAAAGGTTTAAGGATTTTAATAAGAATATTTCAATATTGGATAAAAGGTAAATATGAAATGATTATAAGGTTATTATGGTAATTTGGCTTGGAGGATATTTTTATCTCCCTTATTTAGGAAGATAACACGTGGGGATGGGGAGAGTTTTCTGAAAAGCTTATTTCTTCTTCTTCCTTTTTCACGTTGGCTTCCATTGTTAAGGGTAAGTTTGATTTTAGTTGTTGATTTCTTGAATATTAAGTAGGTTTTTATTATTTGGGTGTTATATAAGCTTAAGTAAAGCTTATATAAGCTTAAAACACCAAGAAGAGAGAAATAGAAAGGAATTTCTATTAAGAGTTTAGAAATGAACTTTTGTTATAAAAAATGTTTTTGAAGTTCTAAAGATGAATTTAACTTGTCAAAGGGTTAATTAAGAAGTTAGAGGTGATAGAATTGAATTTAGAACACATGGAAAACTTGATGAAATTCTTTGATTTAAAAATTATGGTGAAATATGAGAGATGGTGAAGTGTTATAGTGTTATAAGAAGGTTTACATATGTATAAATAAGTTTTAAGGCATAAAGAGGGGTTAATAAGTAGAATTTGAGGACAAAGTAAGAATTTTTGGGCTCAAAATGTAATTTATGGGTTGTGTGCATTGATGCATCTTCAATGTGTATCGATGCACTCCCAAATAAATGAACATCGAATGCAATTAGTTCATCGATGCATGAGGAGTGCATCGATGCACCCCCTTAAGATTAAAACATCGAAGGAGATTTGTGTACCGATGCATAGGTAGTGCATCGATGCACATGTTAAGGGATGCATCGATACATTGTAGAATGTACTCACCTGGTCTCAATTAACACTCTTAAGCTCTTGTTTTCCTTGCGCATCTTACTCTGCCGACCTATCTGAACTTTAAGGGGATTGTTCCTGACTCGATAACGAACACGATGGTGATTTCAAAACGACGATCGAAATTCGGACGGCGTCGGGATCTAAGTCGGAAATCGGCGTAGGGGGAAGGGAATTTGGGAGCAATTGAGGTGTGGTTTTCTGTTTTGAAACAGAAAACCACGTTTATAACATAACATACCTAACTTTCTTGGGTAAATTCAGGGCTTGGTCCCTGAATTTTCTTTAACTCTAAAACAAGCTCCAAGTTTTAAAATCTTTCAATTTAGTCCCCACAATTTACCGATTTTCACAATTAAAACCTCCAATTTCAATTAAATATTATTTTGAAAATATCCGGGTTGTTACAATTCTCCCCCTAGACCTGGCCTATGCGTTTCGACTAAGTCTAGTGGATCACATATATGATTCTTAAAGACATTTTCTGAAGCCGTTATTCAATCATTGTAAAATCACATTATAAATGACATGATATTATACTATCAAAACCCAACTAATAAATATAATACCAATAAGTAAAAAAAATTAATTTAAAACATGTCTTAAAAATCAAAATCACGATAAACCGAATATTAATAGCAAAAGTGTAATCACTATAAAATCCAATACTTTAAAATAAGGTCCATGTCACCAAAATAAAGTCAACCTGAATGATAAAAACATTACAATCAAATATACTTCAAGAGATATGTTGATCCTCCAAGTGCTCAATCCGGGGTATCTAACCAACAGTATTTGAAAGGGGGAAAAACATTTTCGAAAGGTGAGCTAGGCTCAGTGTGTCCCACATTACCATAAAATCACAATAGGTACAATAAACGAGTAATAATTCAGTAAACCATCATAATTTCATAATAGAGTTTAACTTTTGAAAATCATAGTTTAAACCCTTTTCTTGTGCACCATCCGCAGTTCCCAAAACTGCGTCCATATAGCTTACTTTAAGCACATAGCAAAAAGGAAGCCAACCTAAGGATAGGCTTTAGAGCTTGTATCCTTAAGTCCGTAAGTCCATAAGTCCATATAGCTTACCTTAAGCACACAGCAAAGGAAGCCAACCTAATGAAGCATCTTGGGTCCGCGAGTCTACCCAAGAGTCACATTAGGTCCGTACTGTTTATTAGCATGATCAAAGCTATACCATTTTAATTCAATCCAACCCTAAATCAATGTTTTCAATCAATATAATTTATACAATAAGCATAATTTCCATAAATTCGTAATCTTATATAGGTGAAAACCAATAATCATATAACAGTAATTGTCCATAAACCATCAATAAACAGTAAATCATAGCTTTCAATGTACCATATTTCAAAATAAATAAAATAATTAAATAGTACTTAGGGAACACACCTCGATAATAGGTTCAAATAGTAGATTTACTTATTGCTGGTTTTACCACGCTCTGCTACAGTTTCAAACGTGGTTTAACTGATCTAGAAGAGTTGGGTCGAGCTGTCGAATGATCCAAAAAGTCTCTTATACCTTCAAATAATAATAATTTATCAGCCTCAAATCTTACTTAATTGTTCAAAGCTAAAATTCTTAAGTATATAAGTATTTTTAGGGTTTGACTATCAATTTGGAGGATTTCGAGTCTGAATTTGGTCAAACGGATTACGGAATCGGAATCAGGACGTTGAAAAACATAAAGTATGACATTTCGAAAATTTAAATTCTTGGTCAAAGTTAAAGTCAACCACTTTGACCGTCGATTTGGAGGCCTTCGGGTTTGAATTTGACGAAACGAACTTCGGAAACGAATTTGGGACGTCGAAAACTATCAGAATAGGTATACTCGGAAAAGATTAACGGTCGTTTAATGGTCGGTCAAAGCCATTTTAAGTTTTGGTCAAAGGAGGTCAACGATCACGGTCAACGATCAACGGTCGGGTCGGGTCAGACCGGTCAAACTGGTCAAACCGGTTAAATCGGATTTCCAGCTTCCACTCTCCCTGCGGCGGCGCGTGAGACCTCCTCTGGGGCTCTAAAAATCCTGGAAAATTTTCTAAAAATTATTTTGAGCGATTTCGAGATACTTACAAAGATCGGTTCAAATTTTTTAACGGCGGAGAGCTTGATTTCAACTCGGCCGAATCTTTGACTGCTCCACCTCCTCACGCGCCGCCGTCGACTGAGACCGAGGATGACACCGGCGGACTAGAAACAGTACAAGGAACACAATGTTCAGGAGGTGTCGTAAACGGAGCAACGATCGGCGGTGAATTTGAGATTTTCCCGGCGATAGAGCTAAAAAAACGTCGATGCTTTGACTTGAAATTCCTGACGTTTGGCAGCGTTTCGCTTTAATTAATTTAAGGGGATTGTTCCTGACTCGATAACGAACACGATGGTGATTTCAAAACGACGATCGGAATTCAGACGGCGTCGGGATCTAAGTTGGAAACCGGCGTAGGGGGAAGGGAATTTGAGAGCAATTGAGGTGTGGTTTTCTGTTTTGAAATAGAAAACCACGTTTATAACATAACATACCTAACTTTCTTGGGTAAATTAAGGGCTTGGTCACTGAATTTTCTTTAACTCTAAAATAAACTCCAAGTTTTAAAATCTTTCAATTTAGTCCCCACAATTTACCGATTTTCACAATTAAAACCTCCAATTTCAATTAAATATTATTTTAAAAATATCCGGGTTGTTACAATTCTCCCCCTCTACAAGAAATTTCGTCCTCGAAATTTACCTTATGAGAATAGTTGAGGAAACTGAGCCTCCATTGACTCCAATGTCTCCCAAGTAGCTTCTGAGGGGCCTCGATTACTCCATTGAACTTTGACCATTGGAATACGCCTATTCTGAAGAACTCGCTCATCTCTTTCTAAGATCTGGATGGGCTCCTCCTCATATGACAAATCAGGTTTCAGCTCTACCTCATCAACTTGAATGATGTGATCTGGATCTGGACTGTA